TGTTTTTGTTTTAACAAAATTTTTATTAAAATAGAGAAATATTTTTTCTAAAATAAGGAATTTTATAAGCTAATTTTAAGTTTGATCAATAACTACAAAAATGTAATAAAACGTACAGTCATTATTTTTGAAAAAGAATCTTAAAAAACGCTTAAAATTTTTTTTCTTTTTTTCTAGAATTTATTAAAAAAAAAATTGAATAGAAATAATAAAGCTGAACACAAAATTAGAAACATTAAATTTAATGAATGAAAAAAACAAAATTGCAAAAATACAACTTATGAATTTATTATTTAAGGAATTTGATTTGAAAAGAGAAAATGTCAAATTTAAAAACATAGATTTTATGTATATGTATGTATGTATTTTGATTTTTTATCTTTATGTAAATAATTTTCATGATATTTTACAATATTGCCATAACGAACATATTCCGCGGTGGTCTGAAAATCACAATTTGTGAAAATGGAACTTGAAAAATTAAATTTGATGTTCTGAAAATCGAAAAGAGTCAAAAATGTTCGTTTACAATTCAATGAATTCATTTTTGAGTAGTAGTCGAATTCGAGTGAGCTTTTAAAAGTGTAAGCAACAATTTAAATTTGATTTCTTTTAAAGCATTAATTAATAGCATCTAACCAATTCATGTTTTTGTTTTAGGGGACATCATAACAATAGCAAACAAGAAAGTATTCTGTTGCAATTCATGGACAACAACAAGAATATTGCTGTTGGTTTCTCTCTGAAGCTATTAAAAGAAATAATTTCAGTAAACAAAAATTATTATTAGATTCAGAAACATTCAATAAAATTGTTTTATCGCCAAAAAATTTTCTGCTAGTTCTTAATTTCTGATTTTGCCTTCTGGAAATATCGTCCAATAAATAGAGAATTACTAGTACCATTATTTTGTAAATTTTTTTTTTCAAATTAACATAAAATATTTAATTCATAAAATTTTTGTGAATTTGGTTTTCAGAAAAAGAATTTAGTCAGCTGAAGGTCGACTAATCGAGTGAAATACAGGACATCAAATTTCAAATTGAATGGAATGTAAACCAAAATCGAATACATTTTATTCGGATTCCAGAACGCAGCGGATTATTAAATAATCGAATTTTTCTCAATTATCAGTTTTAAGGATTATTTTAAATTGAATTACACTGCTTATCATATGTACATGATATTACAAGGAAATAATAAAACCGAATATTTTAATGTTATTAAAAATAAAAAAATAATAAATGTGAAATATTTATTTCACATTTATTTCTTTTTTATGTAACACTCATAAAAAATTCTGAAATCACTATGTAAGTAATATTTTATTCGCTTTCCAAGGATTTTTCAATTCAACTAGCGGAAAGTTTTTTCTAATACAATATCTTTATATGGCTTAATAAAGCGCTTACTTATAGTTTTTTCAATGCAATTATTCAATTGATTTAATTTTTCATCAATCTAACAACTATTTTACAAACACTTATGCTATTTGCACATTTGCCTGATATTTGCTTTGCAAAAAAGTCAAATAGATAGGGGGATCAAATGCATAGTTTTGTAATACAACATATTTTTCTTTAACACCTTAAGTTAAACAGTAACATTTACAATTTACATTGTACATATATAATTTGACAAATTGACAAAAACACCGTTATTGAAACACTTAATCTTATTTTCATATAAAATTGCATATACTTAGGAACAGATAAAAAAAAAAAGATATATTATAAAGAAAAATTTTGCTAGAAAAAAAACTGAACAGCTATTGCTAGTTATTTGAATTAAGGCAAAGGAGTGCTTGTACTTTCTTCTAAATGACACTAAGAATTGAGAAATAATAACTAGAAAACGGTTGATTGTAGAAAGAAATTCTGTTTCAACAAAATTAATTTTTTATCGACATTCACATATCTGCAAATTGTGAGACACTTAACTTTCCTTCATAATTGTTTATAATTTACACACTGGTAGTTACCAGACAAAACAGTGATTTACAACACAGATATAATTGCATACGTTGAAAACGAGTACAAAAAAGAAGCAAAGAGAGGGCCATAGAAGAATGAGAAAAAAGGAAGAAAAAACAGATCCAGCCAACACATAACCGGCCATTGTCTAATTTAACGAAAATATATAAAATTACAGATCTAAAATATTAAATTTCACAAAATTTCCTCAATTATTTCCTTAGATATGATAAAATATAAGAAATTATTCTCAAATATAATTCTTCTCAAAAGTTGGTCGCGGGTGAGTAAAAATTAGTATTAAGAATTAATAGTAAGCATAACTTCCTATTAACTTCCAATAACAGAAGTGTAATTTAATAACTTTAGAAAATGGCGATTTCCTAAATACTGAATCCACGTTTAAAGTGTTTAATTTGCAAACGCCCTATCTAAAGGCTAGAGTCGTAAGTGTTGTGTGATTTCATGAAAATTTTTTTATTTTTATGATTTTTTTTTATTTTATATAAATTTTGATTTGACTGTTCCTATTTGAAGCTCTTCAAATTTTTCCTCCGTATACTACACATAAATACATATATTTAAACTTAAAATGCTTATTAAAAACCAGTAAATTTAATATAAAATGCTTATCTGCCATAAAACCAGTTCCTATGGTTACACTTCAGTAAATTAACATTCATATTTATAAAAATCCAAATTTAAAATAGAATGCGGTTGCAACTTGCAAATTTAATTTCGATTCGATACATCACACTGACCGGCGCATGTTAAACAACAAACAAATACTCAAGTCATTATCTCTACAACATAATAACAACAGTACATACTTTGATAAATATTTCATGAAAGTTTAGTTCAATGGACCTTAAAAACATTTTAATAATCAGTCAAAAACAACAACAAAAACAAGTAGTTTGTCTTATTTTTATTTAAATTTCTTTTTTTTTTTGTTTTCTTTTGTTGTTTTCCATATTACACTTTGACCATTATGATACTTTGTTACCGTGTGGTTTTTGTATTTTTTGTTTTTCTTCACCACATTTTGTAATTTAATTGTTTGCAAACAAAAACACCTTTGGAAAAATTTTTTTATTAATAGCCAATTTACTAATACGATTTTAAATTCGGACAATATTGAAATATGAGTTTAGTATAATAGGTACGAGAACGGCTGCTTACTAGATGTGTTTACCGATAGCTTACTGCTTTTATTTGGAAAACCCTTCTTTTACTATTCAATATCCAAAAGGTATGTTCGTTCAATACCCAATAGACTTTTTACAAGAAAAAGTAGTCAATTAGAACAGAATTCTCTCTTTTTTCTTCAATATCAAGATTTATTTTTTAACAATAATATATTAATTATTTTTTATTTGGGCTAAATGATTATACTATAGGTACCAAACAAATTGGCACACATTTGTTGTAAATCAAATTAATTTTAAATTTCCTATCATATTATTGTGCAATAAATACGGGAACTTAATAAAGATATATCTAATTTGTTTTACTTCAAGTCTTAACCAAGCTTAAGTGATTGCGATTTTCAGTTCAAGGTCATAAAACAAGAAACACAGAAAAGCAAATACATTTCAAAAAGAACGCAGACCATGGGCCACATATAAAATATATGTGCTAATTAATTAAGTTAGTTTTGCTTGCTTGGACACAGATTAGTTTAATATACTTGTTGTTACTTTAACTTTGCGTGTTAACAATTTTTAATTTTATCGTTCCAGTCGATCTTAACTGACTGCATTATATTCTATGAACCTACATCATTGCAATAGGTAATAAAATCAGAAAATAGTATTCGAGGTAATCAATATTATTTTGGTGCTTATAAGCTATAACTTGACACCTTCTCGTTCAATTTCATATAGGTCACTGTTTTTGAAATATAAATTTGTTTTCTTTTATATGGCAGTTAATCGAACTGTTTAACTCACTAAAACTTCAAGTATATACATACATATCTAAGCTATAATTGAACATCCGACTACAAATTTCATTCGGGCGCAGTTTTATTTCACTTGCAACTTCAAATATTTAAAATTGGCTACCCGAATTCCTTGTTCAATTTTATCGCATAGTTTTATCCGATAAGCATGTCTAGTTCAATGAAGAATTGTACACTGAACAAGAATATACCCATAACAAACAAATTGCTAGAAAGCGGACGACTCCTTGGAGTAGTTACAAAGGTTTTGACTGTAAACCAAATGTTTACATTCAACTAAGAACTCATATTTAACTAAGAACGTAACGCATTGTGAGCAAGGATTAAACTTGTATAATCAAATCACATACATATTATGACAATGTGGATCTTGACACGGAAACTCGTCAAAATAAAATAGATTTATTTAATTTTCCAAATATAACAAACATGCGACTAATTTCAAAATAGATCATGTGGTCCTTAGAATCGCCACAGTGGTATAACTTTTAAAATCTCTTTTTATATCTTTGTTTTTCTTTTTCATGCTATTTCGTCCCTATTAGCAATATAAAATTTTGCGTGGGCCTTGTAACCGCAAAAGAATACCTAACACCGAAAATAAAATATTTCATTAGTCATTGTTCTAATTAGATGTTTATTCGAAATTTTATTTTGAAAAAAATTGTTGTTGACATATTACTGAAAAAAAATATATTATATCGTACCAAGAATATTTCAATATTAAAGTATTAGTTTGATTAAAGATAATAGAATTAAAAAAAATATTTTATGGTTACAGGATGCAATTATGTCATATCAGACATCTAGTAATGAAATATTTCTACGCCTAAAATTAGAAGCAAGCAACCTATTTGAGTAAATCAAAACTTCTTGGCAAACATTTAGTTGAAGCCACTTTTGAATTATAAAGCACTTTTTCAAATAGAATACATAAATGTTTTAGGTATGCTGGTGTTAATTATTATTTAGTCTGTTTAAAAGGGTATGACAACGAGAACTTAAATAAAACATAAAATATTTAGAATATTTTATTATACTTATATCTTAATATTAACCAATACCTGTTGGAGAACTGCAAAACATTCATCATTTGTTCATTATGTTGAGGATTTCCAAACGTTGGACCCATATTACCTCCTACAGTTTGTGCTAAATATTGAGAATGTTGCGAATGATGTAGTTGATGAGAATGAGAAACAGTAGAATGAGGAGGAACTTGTGAAAAATGTGGTGGTGGTGGTGGTGGACCGTAATTGCCCTGATGATGATGATGTTGTTGAGAATACCAATACATAGGATTCCCGGGTGGTCCAAATGACCGAGGTGGATGACCATATATTGAAGCATAATCATAAGTTTGTCTTGATGGTGGAGCAAAATAATTTTGATAATATGCTGATGTTGGTGGTGGGCGAAATATTGGTTCTTGATAATATCGATGTGGTGGAGGTTCAAAATGCTGTTGATGTTGCAAAGCATTAATAGGATTAATCATATTTGAATAATTCTGATTAGATTGATAATTTTGTTGTTGCTGTTGCTGTTGTTTGTACGTTTGACTTTTATTATAATTTGGATGTGATGAGTACGATTGCATTGAATTATTATTATTGTTGTAAGAAGAATTGGAAGAAGAGAAATTTAAACCTCCTACATCTGATGATGTTTTGTACATTTGTTGTGAAAATGAAGTTGTCGGTTGTGATAGATAATGTTGTTGTTGTTGTTGTAGTTTTTGATCCCTTTGTAAATTACGTTGATGATATTGTTGCTGTTTTCTATGTTGTTTTTGTTGCCGTTGTTGTTGTTGCTGATGATGTTTTTCTTGAATTGATGATGATGATTTTACAATTGAACCGATTTCTTGATAATTTTTTATACAACTATCATCATTTATATGATTTGTGTTTGCTACAGTTGTAACACAATTAGGATTTAATGGACCCGTATTAAAATCTACTAATTCATTTGATGATGATATAGATGGTAAATCATTTCTATTACCCCTCATGTCATCATCGTCAGCATCAACATCATCATCATCATCATTTTCGTCATCATGAGGTTCAACTTTATTTTCTTCATCGGATATTAATGTGCTGTTGTTATCAACACTATGATAAAAACTTGATGTTGATAAATTACTCATTTGTTTTTAAAAATTTTGGTTTTTAATTTTCTATTTCTAATAATTTCTCACTTATTTTTCTTTTAAATATTAAAATAAAGTTATTTTATTAGTTCTTCTTACAATTTCATATAAAAATTGATACAAAAACAATAGAGAATAATTTTCCATTCTTTTCAAATATGCAATTTTTTTTTCTTTTTTGCTGAAACACTTTTTTCTTATTTTATTTTAAAGCGAGTGAAGGAAGTTTTTTTTAATTTAACACTTCCCAATCAATTCTAATTGATTTTTTTAATTATTACATTATTATTTTAATTATTAACTACTTTCTTTCACATTATCAGTCTTGAGAAAACCAGACCAGAATAATTAATTTTACATAAAAAATATTTTTTAATTTTTGTGTATTTTAAGCAATATATATATATACGAATTCACACTATGTTTTAAGTTATTTAACACTACCATATTTTTACAAAAAAAAATTAAAATTGAGTCCACTTTGTTACTATTTTTGAAACCTTTTAGTATTTTTTTTTCTTTTTTTGTTTTATGTATAAATTTTTTTCTATTTGAATAGTTTTTGAAGTATTTTTTTTTTTTTTGATATTTATATAAATTTAAGTTTTTTAGAATTATTTTTTTACAATTAATTTTTTGTTTTAGGAAAATATATGTATGTATTTTAATTTTAAATGCAAAGTCTGTTGTATATATATAGAAACTATTTTTTGTGATATAAAATTTGTACTGTAAAATAAAATTCATTTATATTGGCTTAAGTACTATTAATTTTTAAAAACAAATATTAATCGAGAATCTAATCTAGCAAAATATATATATATTTATATGTATATACACATATACTTTAAGGAAATTCAATATTTACTATATGCGGGCTTCATTTACAATTTTTCGTAATAAACCCCAAACATTACTAAATACCTATTTAGCTTTATTATTAATACATTCTAATCTGTTTTAACACTGCACTGTTACATTTCTATTCTAGTTTTAATAATGATGATTTTTTGCTTTGGAATTTTATGATTGCATTATATGTAATGATCTAAAGATGAGTTCATTGGTATGTCGCATTAAGACGATCTTCTTTTAAAGATACATAATGGCACTCACTTTCTCGTGTCACTCACGTTTATCACTTCGCCTGAAAGTGCTGAACTTATTCTTTTTTTGTATTATTTTATTCCATTTCAAAAATTTTAAATGAAATTTCATTTCAATTGTTTGAACTATAAAATGATATTGATCAAAAACCTTCTTTTTTAAGAGATAGAAAAAAGTTGCGGTAAGAAAGTATAGAAAATATATGCGCGCGCATTACTTTTGTGTACGTGAGACGAACCAATGAACATTAACCTTAAATAATGTCTTAATCGGGGATAATTAATGCTTTTTCTTAACTAATTGTCTGGTATTATAATATGCAAACCAAAAACTTAGCTGCAAGATAATTTTAAATAATTACACAGAACGGAAAGTCAAATACTAACTCTAAGTAAAACTAATTAGTAAAAACTTCAAATTAATAGTTTTAATTCCCGATTTTTTTTGTTTTTGAATTTTACACTCTGTACAAAGAAATATTTAAGTATGATAGTACAATAATTGATCAATAAATAAAATAATTATGATAGTAATTTGCTAGTTCTTACTTTTTTTTGATAAGATTCATGAAATCGCATTAAAATTTACAAATAAGTAGAATTAAGAATAATTAAAAAATACTTTTATAATTATTTTCTATTTTTTTTAAATTATAATTATTATTATCAATTAAATTAGTAAATAAATTAATTTTAACCTATCACAGATTGATTATCACCACTTATAAGTAATAATGTAAAAAAAAGTTTTTACAACAAATTAATTAACCAAGAGCAGAAACAGAACCAATAAAATGTTTTTTTTTTTGTTTATTTACAAATTATAGAAATTTTCTGATAACAATTTTGTTATATTACACTCAATTACAAAGTAAAGAAAATATAAACAAATATATGAATACTCGAGAAACTGGTAAACTATAATATTTTACTCACTGAAAAAAAGTAAAATAAAAGCGGTATTGAAACCACGAAAACAAATTTTTTATGAGTGTGTGTACACATATGTATATATGTTTACATATGTTCATGTGAATTATTAACTAAAAATTCGTTATCAAGGTCAGTGATAAATTAAATGCGCTTTAAAAATCACAACAATACACCAACACACTAGTAAAAAGAAACAAATTTAAATTTTCGTATATAAATTTTTAATTTTATATTACATATACATACATATATATATGTATAAATAAACAAGAATTTATATACAAGCAGGCATATATGTATACATACATACATATATACATGTTATAGATATTTGTTTTTTTTTTTTTTAAATATTTTTCTATAATTAAATATTCGTATTCGAATGGCATCACCTTTTTAATGTACATACATATGAACATACATATATGTACGTGTTTTATTAATTTATTTATTTCCATAGAATTATACATACGAGTATATCAAAAATATCGGTATAATATACAATTTCTAATACAGGGGGCCATTTTTTTACTAATAGGCAGCCATCTTTTAATTAAGCCTAGTGAGTTCTATACTAACGGAAATTTCGATAAATATACATAAAAATATATTCCAATAAATTATTACAAATTCGGCATTGTAAAAATAGCTATATAAGTATATTCATTACTTAATTGTTAAGAATTTAATTTTTAACTCGTTATTTATATTCTTACGGAAAATAATTCTTATTAAAATCTGAACGAGTGGAATTTGAGATCATTTCAAAGCCTTAGTCACTTTGACTTAAGCTAATACTGATTACGTCTAGTACTACATCATTAGTTATTATTTGGTACGTGAACTATATTGCATTCAGTTCTGAATTTAAAAAATTTAAAATTATTCATTTCGTAAATTTCGTTTTCATTTAAGCAAATATGTATATATGTATATTTGTATGAGTTTTGCTAATTCATAATATACATTCATGTATGTATGTATTGGTTAAATGTTATTGTAAGAGTAAAAAACTAAAATTTTTGCTATAAAAAACAAACAATTCTTTAAAAATGTACTAAAATTTTGCATAAATATAAGAAATAGAATTTCGAAATTACATAACTACTTTGTTGCATATTTGGCAAAAACTAAAATTTTTACAGAAAAGTATTAATTGAACAACTACATAAACATATGTAGGTACGTAGGTATGCCCTATTCGTTTTCCCATTCCATTTATTCAAATTTAATTTGACATAACAAAATTAGCTAATCATTGCAATAATAATAAAATGCAATAAAAATAAAATGAAATTATTAAATTGTAAAAGTTGTTCAGTAATTAATAACTTGCATTCTAAGTTTAGCAATCAGAAATGTATAGATTTACTGAAATCCATAAAAAAATTTAAATAAGAAATTAAGAAATTTGCAAAACTTTTTTTAGCATTATTTTTTATTAAACTCTTTATTAATATTATTGTTATTGCAAAATTAAAGTTATTTTTAGTAAAAATTTAACTAATCAGAAATTATATTTTTAAAAAACTATTGCTTATGCAATTGAAAGTGCTATTATTATTTACAGGTTTGTTTATTAAGGCACACATTCAAATATTTTTGCTTCGTATAAAATTATGCACGATATATGGCTTTGTAAATTTGTTTTATTTATGTTCTGAGTAAAATTATTGTTAATTTATACTAAAAAATTAATGCAAATTAGTTTATTACATAATTGATTCAAGCAAGTTTGCGTAACATTATACGGATTACACAATATCTGGAAATTTAAATAGCAAATTCGACATAAATATCGTAAATTTCCAAATTTTCTTAGGTGATCCTCAACTGAAAATTGAAATTATTAAACCTTCATGAAAACACATGCAATCTTAACTCTGAATTTCGTTTTCTGCTAGTCTTACTTTACTATCTACAAAATATTGTAAGTATTTTATAAATTTCAGCTACATTTCTTTCTTTCGCTTTACTCTAGTTGCTTATATATTTAAAAAAAAGTAAGAACTTTAAATTAAAACTGAAACATTAACAATAAAATTACTGTGGGATTTTTGACATTCCATAGCAATTTGTGGTCAGTTTAACTATTAAGTCTGTACATTATTCATTAAGGTTAATATTTCAGTATTGACATAATTAAAGTAAAATTAAAGCCTTTGGATTAATTTCTTAGCTTATTTGAAAAGTGTAATTGTAAACCAAGGTTTTTAAGAGACATATCGAAACATTGAATATTAACGAGATTAGTACGCATCTCGATTTATCAATACGGTAGGGTTGTTTATAGCATTTTAAGTTAATCTATTCAATATTTTAAAAAATAATCAACTGACATATTTCAACAGTTGATCAATCCGAAATTAAAATGCAACAATGCATACACAGTTCAACATCTCACTTAAAATTGTTTATTTGCGTTACGATACGAAATTTGATACCATAACACAATCTCCCTTATTTAATGCAATGTGGTTGGTTGAAATTTATGCGTTCATGAACGCATTTTATTTTGTTTGAATAAATGCGAAAAGCTTGCAGGGTCTATTTTCAAAATGACATTGACTTGTTCGTATGGAATGAAGTCTATAACTACTTAATTTCACCGTTACATATTTCAGTTTTAGAGAAATTTTTTATTAGATTTAAGACTCTTTTCTGGATTATGCCGGCTGTATAGGAAACTTTAGTAAGTATTGTTATAGATAAACTAATATTTGTACAATAATACTAAGGTCTAAAATTCTACATTAAGGAAGCGTCTAAAGAAAATTGAGGAAAATATAAACATGTAGCATATAGTCAAAGAGGTGCTTAAAAGGTTACAAAAGGAATATAAGGTGGCATATTTTTAAACAAATCTTGCAGAACATAACAAATTTTTGGTTCAAGATTCGTTTGAAATTCGGTCTCTCGAAGTCCCTCGAAATGGCAACATACGAAATTTGTGGCATATCAAAAGATTTTTTTTATTTTCACTAATTTCGGGCCTGTATAATATACTAGTGGTTCACGACCTCTGTTCACAAAAATGATTATTTTCCTAAGCTTCTCAATTATTGTCTGCAATAAATTGCAAAAGTAGACTTGTTTTTAATTTTATTTTTAAATTTATATTAAAAAGTATAAGTAAATATTAATATTAAACCTATATAACTGTTATACCAATAATATCTATGTATAAAATTTTACAAATTAGACCGATAAATGACTAAGTTTCTATATTTAAAAGGTAAATGGTATTCACCCAATGTTATATAACGTCGAAAAAATATTTATTTTCCAATTTTTTGCTAAATTTTATTTCACTATAAATATTTAAAATTTTATTTAATCTTATAAATTCTATTACGTTTATTATTTTTTCATTTTATATAATTTAATTTATTTTGTTAATTTTATAATTTTTTTTTTTAACATATGAATCACGATTAATTAACCATATTTTAAATATTAATATGTTTTCATCACACAAACACTAACACATATTTATACTTGTATATCAAAAATTTATACATGAAAAGAATTAATAATTTTTTTTTTAAATTGACAATTTTTTTTTCGTTGAATTTTATTTCATTTTATATTTTGTGTAAATAAATTAAATTTTGGTACTTAACGTAATTTTTCTTTATTTGTTTAACAATTTACTTTTTTTTTTTAATTTATTTAATTTCTAGCTTTTAA